TGATCCTTCATACAGATGATCCTCCATACAGGTGATCCTCCATACAGGTGACTCTTCATACAGGTGACCCTCCATACAGACAACCCTCCACACAGGTGACCCTCCATACAGGTGACCCTCCATACAGGTAACCCTCCATGGAGGCTGGGGAGGGTGTTCGGCCTAAAGCTGTCAGAGGCCTGCGTGGAGGGTGCTGCGGGCATTTGGCTGGGGTCAGTGCCCACCACAGCCGTCCTCAGAGGGGCCCTGTGAGGTCAGCACTGGGGCAGCATCATGGTGGGGTGGGTCAGGGCTGCCCTTGGCAGGGACAGTGGCACCAGCTATGCCACTGGGGGAGGTCGGAGTGTCTCACTCGTCACCCACGTGAATGGTCCCCCTTGCCTGGCATTTGCACACCAACGGCAGTCCCTTGCCTCTGTCTCCAGGGGACACTGGCAGGGGCCGCAGAAGAGCTGTGGGACTCAGTGTCTCCCTGTTCCTGTGGCGGACTCCCCCAGCACTAGAGAGGACACCAGGGTGCCTGTGCGTCCCCCTCAGGGGCTGCGGGAGCCTGAGTGCATCTCAGGCCGGGCACTGAGGTGTGTCCATCTGAGGTGTATCCCTGGGGGGATCCAGGCATGAAGGGACAAGGAGAGGAGGGCAGAAGGGGGAGGGTCCCTGGGCAGGAGGCCCAGGGACAGGTGTGGCTCCTGCCCAGTGCTGGTCCTGGGCACACCTGACTCTCCCAGGAGCAGGGCGGGGCAGGAACCCTGCTCTCTCCCATCACCCCCTACTTGAGTTCTGCCTTTTTTTTTTTAATTTTTTGCTTTTTGGGTCACACCCGGCGATACTCAGAGGTTACTCCTGGCTCTGCACTCAGGAATCATTCCTGGTGGTGCTCGGGGGACCATATGGAATGCTGGGAATCGAACCCGAGTTGGTCGCATGCAAGGCAAATGCTCCAGCCCCAAGTTCTGCCTTTAGTAAGGGTGGGTCTACCCGAAATCCCAATCCCCTAGGACCTCTCTGTTTGCTCCTCCTCTTTCCAGGCTTCCAAACAATAGATTTCCAAGCTCCCTCACATCACAGCAGCAGAATGGAGTGACTAGGAGAGCCTCCTGGAGGTAGGCAGTCTGCCACTTTCCTGCTGTGCTCTGGTTGTCAAGTTCCTTAACCTCCCTGGGCTTCCATTTCTTTGTAAGATGAGGAGAGAAAAAGACTGACCTCACAGAGCTGAAACAAAACTCGGTATAGGAACAGAAACGCCAGGCATTCAGGACCGGGCTGAGGGCCTGGTGGAACAGAGAGCAGGGGAGAGCTCACGTTTGCTCTGATGTCCCGTCTGCATGGTGGAGCGTTGAGGTTACTTACGAGTCTGCTTTCCCTGTAGAAGGTTTAGAATAGGCTTCTCAGAAGAAGTGAGTCCTAGGGGATGATTTTAAGAAAGGACACTGTTGATGAATAGGGTGGCGTGGGTCGTGAAAATCTGATCTTCATAAAGACTTAGTGAGATCGAGCAATTTTATATACCCCCTTATTTTGGGGGGCGGGTATGGTCACACCCGGCGATGCACAGGGGTTACTCCTTGCTCATGCACTCAGGAATTACTCCTGACAGTGCTCGGGGGACCATGTGGGATGCTGGGGATGGAACCAGGGTCGGCCGTGTGCCAGGCAGGTGCCCTGACTGCTGTGCTATCACTCCAGCCCCTGTAACCCCCCTTATTAATGGAAGTGTACTTTGCCACGGAAATCTATAAAACCACTGATAATCCCACATAAAGCTTTGATTTTAGAATGCATCTGTACCTAAGTATATATATGCACTAGATTTTCTTCTTCATCATGTTTAGCGTTTACGTTCATTTGGAAATAAACCGTCACACCCCAGGCCTTCTCAAAGACTCTACAGACCTCGAACCATTTTCAAAGAAATGTTGAAAATGCAAACTGCGGTAAAAATAAATAAAAGCTGATCGTATTGGTGGAATCTCATCTCCATTAAAGGTAGCACAGATATTTTATGGAGCTTTGCAAAGTATAAAGGTAGAGGCTTGGGGCCGGGCACATGGCACTTAGAGAAACAGGCGGCTCGGATGAAAAACAAGGCCGCTGCCGGATGTTGGTTGATGGCCGGTGCCCAGCTGAGAGGGCAGCCGTGTGTGAGTCCTATGCATGGCAGTCGCCGAGACGCACGTCTGTGCAGAGATGTTACCTGTCTTTTTTTTTTTTTATTCTTTTTAAAAAATTTTCTATGGAGGAGTCACACCCGGTGATGCTCAGAGGTTAGTCCTACTTTTGTACTCAGGAATTACCCCCGGCATTGCTTAGGGGACCAGAGGGGATGTCGGGGATTCAACCTGGGTTGTCTGCATGCAAGGCAAACTCCCTCCCTGCTGTACTATCACTCCAGCCCCTGACATTGCCTGTGTTTAGCCGTGTGTCTCCTGGCTCATGTTCTGTTGCCATCAGCGGGATGCTGAGCTCCGAGCCATTTCCATTGCAGCTCTGACTTTGTTCCCTCACAAGCCCCGACTGGCTGCTCCCCATGTCTTGTGCTGGGCTGTGTCAGCGGAGGGCCCTGGGGAGCCAGCAGCGGGGTCCCAGATTCTCTCTCTGAGCCCAGAAGAGGGCCTGGCAAGCTCCCCGTGATGTATTTGATACTCCAAACACAGTAACAACAAGTCTCACAATTTGTTGTGAGAAGTCACTGGTGCCCGCTCGAGCAAATCGATGAACAACGGGAGGACAGTGCCACAGTGCTACAATACTCGAGAGTTTCAGGGGGTCACTGCGCATTTCTGGGGGGTGTGCAGGACCCACAGCATCCACTGCCAGAGCTCCAGTGTCCCCCCAACCAAGACCCCTTTGTCCATTCCCCTCCAGGGTTTACACGGAGTTAACCATTCCTCAGTTGAGTTTTTGCTGCTGTAATGATCCTAGCCCACATAGGGGTTTTGCTTCCCGATTTATTTTAATTGGTGTAATCCCATCAACACCCCTCCATGCTGTCTCCAGAGGCACCGCTTTGTCATTGTTAACGGCAGGGCAGTATTCCATGGCTCGGGAACACTCACCCTGCCTGAGCCAGGCCTCTGCAGGTGGGCATTTGGGAGCAGGAGGGAGGAGCAGGATGGGAAGGGGAGGAGCCAGGGGAAGGAGCCAGGGAGATGGCACATGGGGAGGAGCAGGGGGAGGAGCAGAGGGGAATGAGCAAGGGAGGGAGCAGGGGGAGGAGCAGAGAAAAAGGAGCAGGGGGAGGAGCAGAGAGGGAGGAGCAGGGGGAGGGGCAGAGAGGGAGGAGCAGGGGAGGAGCAGAAAGGGAGGAGCAGGGGGAGGAGCAGGGGGAAAGAGCAGGTAGGGAGGAGCAGAGAGGGAGGAGCAGGGGGAGGAGCAGAGGGAGGAGCAGGGGGAGGAACAGAGAGGGAGGAGCAGGGGGAGGAGCAAGGGGGAGGAGCAGGGGGAGGGGCAGAGAGGGAGGAGCAGGGGGAAAGGAGCAGATAGGGAGGAGCAGGGGGAGGAGCAGAGAAGAAGGAGCAGGGGGAGAAGAGGGGGAGGAGCAGAGAGGAAGAAGCAGGGGGAGGGACAGAGAGGGAGGAGGCGGGGAAGAGTAAGGGGGAGGAGCACGGGGGAAAGAGCAATTAGGGAGGAGCAGGGGGAGGAGCAGAGGGAAGGAGCAGGAGGAAGAGCAGGAAGGGAAAATGGGGAAGGAGCAAATGCCTCACGTGTCGAGTCCTTCAGCCTCCCGTGGCCAGTGCGGGAGGCCTGCTTGTGCCGTAACGGGCATGGGCGTGTAGAAATGGGCCCAGAGGGGCCAGGCAGCTGCAGCAGGGCCAAGTGTGCGGTGTCTGGAACGTGCTGCCAGGCGTGGTGGATCAGGCCCTTTTGGGGAAGGGTCCTGCCCCTCTCACCACTGCCCAGAGGCTCCTGGTGCCCAGAGCCCGTCCCCGAGGCCACTATCCCGTCTCCCAGCCAGCTGGTCCTGTGCTGCTTGCCAAGGAGACAGTCCGGGAGGATAGAACAGCGCTGAGCGCGACCTGGGCACCGAAGGCCCTTTTCCCAGAGCACTCAAACCTGCAGGGAGCCGCCCCCCAGCCTCACCTCAGGGACTCTCCCGGTGTTCCCCAGGTCACCTGTGTTCTGAGGAGACTCCTCCCAACCCACTGCAAGGCTCGGACACCCCCACCTAACTGCAAAGGAGCCAGGATTCTGCAGTCAGTGACCAGCTCTGCGACTGAACTTTCTGGAAGGTGCTCGGTGAATGCCATCACCACCGTCCGTGCTCTCACTCGTGACTCAAGGCACCACCATGAGGCCACATGCAGGTCCTCATGGGTGTGGCAAATAGCCCTGCTCCTCAGGAAACTCAGGGTCTGCAGGGGGAGACAGGCCCACCGTCTCTCCTGGAGCTGACCCTGCATCCGGGACCCACTATGCTCTTCTTGCCCAAGTACTTCCAGTGCCCGGGCCTTCCTGACAGGGGACACTATGATAGCTCATGCTGGGTGACTCCTCACGGTTTCTCTGGAAGCAGCTGCGTCCCATCGTGAGCCTGGTCCAGGAGCACCACAGATTATCAGCGTGGTTTGGATGGCTCCTGATCGCGGGTGTCTGTAGGTGAGAAGAAGGACCCCCCTTCCCTCTCCCACAGACCATCCTCAGGACAGTCCCCCCCCCCCCGCCCTCCGCCTCTCCCCAACTCAGCCCTGGAAACCATCACTTGTCACTGTCATTTCGTTAATTATCGATTTACTGGAGTGGGCACCAGTAGCGTCTCCATTTGTCCCAGCCCTGAGTTTTTTGGTTCTTTTTTTTTTTTTTTTTTTTTTGCTTTTTGGGTTACACCCGGCAATGCGCAGGGGTTGCTCCTGGGTCTGCACTCAGGAATTACTCCTGGCGGTGCTCAGGGACCATATGGGATGCTGGGAATCAAACCCGGGTTGGCCACGTGCAAGGCAAACGCCCTACCCGCTGTGCTATTGCTCCAGCCCCCCAGCCCTGAGATTTTAGCATCATAAACGTTATGCTCTCTCTCTATGGATGCGGCACGCCAGCTGGATGTCCTTGGGCATAATGGTGACATGCTTGGCTGGGAATGCACAGAGGTTGGTGTCCTGGAAGAGCCCCACCAGGTAGGCCTCACATGCCTCCTGCAGCGCCATGACCACCGAGCTCTGGGAGCGCAGGTCGATCTTGAAGTCCTGCGTGATCTCGCGCACCAGCCACTGGAACGGCAGCTGGCGGATCTCGCGTAGTGCCATGGTTTCGGGCCAGTAGCAGTGCGGCTTCTTCACGCCACCGGTGGCTGGCGTGCTCTTGCAGGCTGCCTTGGTGGCCAGTTGCTTGTGGGGAGCCTTCCTGCCCATTGACTTGTGTACTGTCCGCTTAGTACAGTCCTCTCGTTCTTCCCAACTAAGCTGGAGACTCCTTCAGGGTTAGGGAAATGAGACCCATTTTAGCTACTGTTGTTGGTATATTTGGTATGTCACGGGTGGCTTGCCAGGCTCTGCCATGCGGGCTGGATACCCTTGGTAGCTTGCCGGGCTGTACAGGAGAGAGATGGAGGCTTTGGGGGCCATCTCTAATCGTCCCTGCAGGTATTCCCAGTCTACCGGATATAAGCTCCTGGTGACCGGCCTGCTGTAACAATTTGTACACTGATAACACGCACCTGCCTGCATCTCCGGGCAGCACCTGGGGCATTTTCGGCCCCAGGTTGATCACCTTGAGGTGGATGGAGTGTGCCCGGAGGATGTCGAACAGCTGGCAGAGCAAGATCCCATTTCATAGGGTCTGTGCCAGGTCGAACACCTGAGCCGAGTCCCAAGTCACTCAGTAGTTGGCGGACAGCGTCCCAGAGTGGGCAAGTCACCGCACAGGTCACTGTCACTGCTCCACGCTCAATGGTGCTGTGACTCGGCCCAGCTAGGGGAGGCAGTGGTGCTGGGGCCGCTGCCGAGGTCTTTCCTCACCTCGCCAACACCATTCTGTCTCAATCCTGCAAAGCTGCCGGCGATGTCCAGCAGGAACTACGCTCAGAGCTCCAGCAGGCATCACACGCGGAACTCCACACCCGGTGCACTGAGCTGCGCATCACCCAGAGCGAGATGGTGAGCTGGGTTCGGGAGAGTGCGAGGGGTCCAACTGGCGTCGTTGCCATCTTGTCTCACTGGAAACCATTCTCCCCAGAAAGGGGGAGAAGGGGGAGGGGGAGGGACAGTCCCCCTGGCCAGTGGTTCCATCAGCAGAAAACTAATCCTCAGGGGGAAGGGGCAGAGTAAATGTGGGGCAATGAATTAAAATGAAAGCATTGGGATCAGACAGACCCCAACTCCAAGCACAATCTGCCCCAACATGCATTCTCCCAGTTACCAAGCTAAGAAAGCCCAATTAGGCATCCCCACAAAGGCATCTGCACCCACAGATGGGAACATCTCAAGCACCTGTCACCCCCAAAAGAGAAGTGAGCCTCGCACAGGGGGCTCTGGGTCAGCCCCACACAGGCTCGTGGAGCGGGAGCGTTCTGCAGTACGGATGGAGCGGGCCATGCTGGGCCCCATAATGGAGCTCAAAGCTCGGCAGAGGCCCCCACTGTGCTTCCACTGATGCCCAAGGCCCCTGCAAGGCACATCCACTGGAGAGTAGAGAAGTAACTCCTGGACCCGAGGAGCAGGTGGGGAATGTGGAGGGATGGCAAATTGTCACCATCACCTTTGTGGCTTTTCAGTGGGACAAGGAACATTCTAAAAACAGGTGGTGGTAAAGATTGTGCAACTTGGGTTAGAGAGATAGTTCAGGGGCTAAGGCGCTTACCTTGTACATGGCTGAGGGGGTTCAATTCCCAGCACCCCAGTTAGTCTCCTGAGCCCCACCAGGAGAGATCCCTGAGTGCAAAGCCAGGAGTGAGCCCTGAACACTGCCACGTGTGACCCCAACCCAACCCCCAACAAAATCATTTTGCGTGGACATAGAGAAATCTCATAGTATGTGATTGACCTGCCATTAAGCCAGTTGCAAATCAGATTATGTCACTCAGGCTGCCAGGTCACTGCCTAGGTTCCTGGCATGCCCCACTTTCATATATCAGCCTGGAATGTTTCTGGAGTTTGCTCTGGGGCACACACGTGCTCTAAGATCTTTCTGGGTCAAGGCCCTCTCCTCACACCTGTGAAACACAAGCCAGACCAACCACGGGAGAAAGGAAATAGAGTCCCCAGAGACAGATGGGCTTCGGGTTTGTGTGCATCTGGGGCCTCGTAGGATGCCAGTCTCTCTCTGCCCACTTCCTGCTCTGTTTTCTCTGGGTCCGTTCTATTCCCAGGAAACTCTTCCCCTCGTGAAGCCAGCCAACTTGAGGCATCAACAGAATAATTTTGTGTGGACATAGAGAAATCTCATAGTATGTGATATGGCAGGTTATGTCCATGGGATTTAACCCTAGAAAACATATTCATCCCCAGTGGGCGGCAGAAGGTCCCAGGACTTAGACTTAGTAAAGCAATCTCAGGCTCATCCTGAACCTGATGGCTGTGACAAGAGCTGGAGTGCTGATTGGCCAGAACCTGGTCACATGTCACAGGTAGGTGGGGTCAGCATCACCTCACCCACATTAATAGAAAATGACAGAAGCCCCTCGAATGGAAATGAAGAAACTCTAGGAAAGGGAACAACCAACAGCCAGATGCAACACCTTCACTTAGAACACCTTCCCTGGAATTGTCGCCTCCTTGGAGATCCTAGAGGGATTCTACAACTGTTCTTTCTTTTTCTTTTTCTCTTTTTATTATATATATATATATATAATATATAATATGCCAAACACAGTAACAACAGGTCTTATGGTGGAGACATTACTGGGCCCACTCGAGCAAATTGATGAACAACGGGAGGACTGTGACCGTGATAATAATTCTTATTATTATGTATATATACACTTTATGGTTTCTTGAAATTTTTTAAGCTTTTGAAAATTGTGGTTCTGTGATTTATAATACTGTTAATAATGGCTTCCCATGTATGTAATCCCAACACCACACCCCTGACCAGTGTCCCCCACCTCCTTCCCCAAGGACCCTAATATTCCTCCATTTCAATGCTCCCCCACAACTCAGTTGTGTGGATCAGTTCTTCTTTTGTGTTGCTTTTGGCCCTTCGTTGCTCCCTTGCTGTGTATCTTTCAGTCCCACATATAAGAGAGATCATTCTGCACCTACCCCTGCCCTGACTTGCAAACGCCTTACCTTGAGGACTTTAAAAAGGGAGACAAAATAGACTTCTTATTCTTATCTCTCAGAAAGGCTTGGAAGGGTCTTTACTCTATTTTTTTGGTTTGGTTTGGTTTTGGATTATACCTGGGGGTGCTCAGGGCTTCCTCCTGGCTCTGTGCTCAGGGATCACTCCCGGAAGGGCTCGGGGAACCGTATGCAATGCCAAATCAAACCCGGGTTGGCCGCGTGCAAGGCAACCTACTTGCTGTACTCTCTCTGGCCCCCAAGAGTATCCTGGATTTATTCCTGGAGGTGCCCGCATAACCAACAGCCTTGCAGATCACCTCCACAGCTGCAGGGGCATCTTTTGGGTCCCCTGACAGCCTCTCTGAGGGAGTGGGGGGGGGATCCCAGCTTTGCCATGAACAGTGGTTGCATGCCCTCCCCTGCCCAGCATTCCCCATCACTCCTTGTGGACTGGGTGACGCTGGGTGTGCAGGACGCAGGTGACCTGCTACCGAGATGGTCTGGTTCCGGTCCATCTGGGTCTGAGCATTCGCCTCCCTGTGGAGCACAGCTGGCCACCCCCCCCACACACACCCCTATGCATGTGCACACATATGCTCACGCGTGTGCTCAGCCCGCAGGGAAGTTAATAGAGATCTACAACCCCGATTGTACGTGTGCTTTCGTAAATAAATATATTAAATAGGTAAGCCAAATTTATTTCTGGCAACAGCTTGCTACCAACCCCTCCCCCTCTTCTCCGCAGTTCCCGCGGCAACTCCAGCCTCTTCCACCCCACCCCCAGGCGTGACTTTCTCTCTTAAAATTTTATTTTTAATTTGTTGTGATGAATGAGTGACACCTCTGACAGCCGATTCGCAGAGATTAATAGAAACGACACAATATTTACGTCGGCGCTACGAACAATTATCCTGCCATCTATCTCTGAGATTATCTTCCTGATTGAAAACTACTCATCCGTGTAATCGGAATTATTTGGAATTAGAAGGGAATTTATAGCCCCCCAGAGCGCACTCTCTCTCCCCTCGCCCGCGTCCACACCTCGAGCTCCATCATTCTCTCGTCCCTCCTCTGGGCCCCAGATCTTCTCCCGGGTCTGTGTGATGGGGCCAAGAAAATTCTCTGCTTCTCTCGGGAAGCTCTGGGTGAGGTGAAGGTGGGGAGGGCAGTGGCATTTCTGTAGCCTTGGTGTGGGGGACTGTGGTGGTGCTGGGGATAGACCCAGTGTTTGTAGGGAGAACGAGACATTAGATGTCAGCGGTAGCAAGGCTGGCGCATGAGCTCAAGATGGATGAATATAATCTGGTCAAAGAGGTTGCCGACGGGGGGAGGAAAGGTGACTTTGGGAAGCACGCAGTGCAGTGAGCAATCTACAGGAGCATGCCTGGCCCCCAGCAGTGGACCTGGATTGCTGAGGGTACAGGGCTGAGGCTTAAGGCCCGTGGGGCCAGGCAGGACGCTCTGGAGCTGGACCTGGACAAAGGTGAGGGGTGCCGGCTTGGGGCAGAGGAGGTTCCCTGCAGGTGGGAGAGACCGGAGCATCTGTGTGTCCCACTGGAGAGGGAGCACCGAGGTGGGAGGACGGAGAGGCAGGGCATCTGTTCTGTTTGGTTTTTGGGGACAGGGGCACACCCAGTGGAGCACAGGGCTGACTCCTGGCTCTGTGTGTAGGGAGCACTTCTGGCTAGACTCAGGGAACCAGATATGGTTCTGGGGGTTGAACCCAGATCAGCCATACGCAAGGCATGCATCCTGCAAGGTATGATCGCTCTGGCCCTGGGTGTGTGTCCTGCCTGAGATCTTCCCGGGTGTGGGTGTCAGGGGGAGGTAACGCAGCCTGGGACCCCTCATTCTGCCTCTTCTGAATGTTGGGTCCGAGGCAAGGTCCTAACCACTGCCAATCTCTCAGTTGCCCAGGGGGATGGTCCTCCCCACAGGCAGGGACAGTCTGGAAAGGGAGACGAAGTCTCTGACCCCGGGATGTGGCCAGGATGGGTGAAATTGTGGGTGGGCAGTTCCCAGGACTAGGAAAGGCTCAGTTCCTGTGGGGGCCTCGTGCGAGCACTCCTGACCCAGCATTCCCCCAGGAGTCAACACGTAGGCACCCCATAGCCCTTTCCCTGCTGGGTGCCACAGTCAAAGAGCAGAAGGGAGGGTCTCTCTTGTGGGGGGTGAGGGTTAGGACCCCCAAACTGTTCTCTGGTGTTTCTTCTATGTTCCAAGACTTGAAACTACCACTGTGTGTTTAGGTGTAAACCCTACCCAGATGCCACGCCAAGTTCTCTCGTATCTTCAACCCACATGACCCCCCCATTACCCCTCCCCAGGGAAGAGCTAGTATTAACACCCCCATTTGATGGGTAGGAATCGAGGCACTGAGGGATCGGGTGGTCAGTATGGGAGCTCACCCACACAGGGTCCTCATGCCAGCAGTCACTGGAGTTCATGCCGCAGGACAACCCCTCCCCTGGGCTATGGACTGTCTCCCAACCCTGTGAAGAGACTATGACAGTGATATCTTCTTGGTTCAAAAAGACTGAGGGCATCTGGCTCCCATGCTCTTTTTGTTGTTGTTGTTGATTCACCACGAGGTACAGTAACAAAGCTTTCATGTTTAAGTTTCGATCATACAGTCATCAAACACCCATCCCTTCACCAGTGCGCATTTTCCACTACCAAAATCACCAGTATCCCCCCACCCCACCAGATTCCACACCTCCCCCTGCCTGTCTGGCAGACAATTTGCACAATACCCTTCTACTTTAGTTACCTTAGATATTTCGAGACCAGTCCCACCACCACTCACACCTGCCGAAAAGGCAATGCTAGACAATGTGTTTGTATTGTTTGTTAGGAATGCAATATAATGTCATGCAGCTGCGAGAGTGGCCACACACTCTAGGAATTCTAAAATTTTAATAATTAG